AGCGGATGCGACAAGAATCTGAGAAAGCCAAGATAGAGTTGGAGGGACATGGTCTGGCTATTCTCAGAGATGGCGCGTTGTCCGGTGAGGGGCTGGGTGAACAGGTGACCAGGTCTCCTCATCGCTTTGATATTGGTAACCTGCGCTTGCTGCCTCACTTTAATGAAAGTGATCCTGACACGTTTTTTTTTGTTGTTTGAACGTGTAGCTAGGGCTAGAGATTGGCCTGATGCGGACTGCGCTCTGATGCTTCAGTGTGTTCTCACAGGACGAGCGCAGTCTGCATATTCCTCGTTATGTCTGGAAGATAGCTCTAGCTATAGTAAAATAAAATCAGCGGTGCTTAGAGCATATGAACTGGTGCCAGAGGCCTATCGACAGCGTTTTAGGTCCTTTGAGCAAAAACAAGATCAAACATATGTGGAGATGGCGAGGGATTTGTCTGTTCATTTTAAGCGTTGGTTAACTGCTCTTGACGTCACTACTTTTGACGTTTTGTGTGAGCTCATGACTTTGGAACAGTTCAAAAATATTCTTCCTGACAAGATCGCTACTTACATAACAGAACACAGGGTCACGTCTGCGGCTGAAGCTGCTGTGGCAGCTGATGAGTTTGTGTTGCTTCATAAGAGCAGGTTCGGAGGGCGCTCTGGGGCCCTAACTGTTTTTGAAGGAAGTAGAAAGGCTGTTGATGTTGGTTCATTTGGGATGGAGCCAAGGAAATTGGGTTTGGTCAAATCTGAGGTGGATAATAATGATATTTGCCACTATTGTCGTGAAAAAGGCCATTGGAAGGCAGATTGTCCTGCGCTTAGATCAAAATCTGAGGGAGGAAGATATTTTGTTGGGCCTGTTGCGTTAGCTGCTCCTGTGAAAAGCTGCTGTGTTGCCGATGTGCTTACATCCCACTTATGTGGATCTGAGGTTTTGGCATCTTATGCTCCATTTATACGAGACGGCTTGGTGTCATTGGTAGGTAGTAATGTCAGGGTTCCAATCAAAATCTTGCGAGACACAGGGGCTTTTGATTCCTATATTGTTGACTCTGTTTTGCCTTTGTCTTATGAAAGTGACACTGGTGACACCGTTCTGAGTTGGGGAATGGGATTAAAAGTTCTTCCTATTCCTGTTTGTAACCCCCGGTTACTAAGACACTGAGAAATAACATTGACTAAAATGTCAACTTTATTTTAATGCTTAGCACTACATACACAAATAATATAAATTATTTGAAACTAAAATAGAAACAATATAGATACACAATATGCAATTTAGGACAACATGATTTAGACAATTCTTCATGAAAACATTTAAATGAGTGTGATTAGATAAATCCCCTGTCCATCTAAAGTGGTTGTAAAGCAAGGCTAAGCCAATCAAAGTTTAGACCCTCCCCGTGTCTGCTGTCTAACAGGAAGTGAGATGGCTGTTTATCCTTTTGGGATAATGACTCAGCAGCATTAGCTCTATAGATTTTAATTGTAGTTATTTTAACAACTTTTCACTTAGATTGACCGACTTTTCTACTTTCCCCCAAGAGCATTGCCTCTTATATGATACCCTTGGTGAGTTGCATGAGAAAATACGGATGTTAAATATGTATTTTAATGAAATTATCGATGCTAAATTAGCCGCGGCTAACCGTTGCTAACGCGTTAGCCTAGCGTGTATCCGTGTTGCTTTAATGTGTGCGGGGCGGAGGGATGTGAAGTCACTGCACCGCTCTATTGTCTGTGGTTTTGGCGGTGGTCTTCACGTTGCTTTGCCGCCAGTTGTGGCACATTGAAGGGGCATTGACCACAGCTTAGTCTGTTAATTGTTGTGGAATATGAGCAAAGTTGAGCTAACTGTGGCTGGTTATAGGTTGGCCGAAAATGAGTTTAGTACACTTTGTTAAAATAATAACATGTGTGACATGTGTTAAATAAGCTGACTGATAATTGTTGTATTTAGAATTGTTTGTTTAATAGGATTTTAGGAACATGTGCAGTGTATTTTGTTGATTTGATTAATATACAGAGAAGTGCTGTTTCAATTTGCATTTAAACCATTGTATAAGCATTCATTTGACTCTTGGCCTTGTTGTCAGGTCGGGTCTTTTTTTTTGTGATGTGAAGGAGATTTTCTGGATTCTTTGACTGGAACGCTGCCCTCATCTCTGCTGGTGTACTGTGGCGAATTTCAGTCTGGCGAGCTACCCATCGACCTATCTAAAAGAAGAGAACTATTACAGTTACCCACCACGATAGTAGGACAATAACTTGTGTATCTTTTCCTCTTCACAAGTTGAGAGCCAAGAACTGATTTGATTATTGATTGTGTGATACTATGTTGAATATGTTATAACTATATGTGTATAGAAGTAATGTGATAAGTTTTCTTTCATTTTATTTAAGAATCTGAAATAACATTTCAAATACAGAGTCCTGGTTCCCAAAATTAGAATATATAGCTTAGCTACTAAATTTAAATAAAACCATTAGTTTATATTAAATAGGGATAATTAAAACAGAAGTAACAACACTAATGCCGCGTTTCCACTACACAGCCTCGCTCGGCCCCGCTCGGCCTCCTTTGGCCGCGCCCGGCCTCGTTAGGACCAGCTCACTTTGTGGCGCGTTTCCATTACAGTTTAGGAACCGGGTCAGTATCTATAGTAACACAGTGTAGGCGGAGCGACGCTGCTTAAAACTGCCGTGACGTCATCTTCAATGCGACACAACAATGGAGATGTGAAAGCGATCGTTTGCTTGTTTTTTGCTGTGTGGTTTATTATCACAAGAAATAGACAAGAGTTGTTTCGAAAGAGGCGACGTATAGCAAGACGAGGTATAGAAGAAGCTGACGCGAGAGTTCGGGCAGTCCTCCTACGCCGCAGACTACAGGACGACTCGAATCACTACTAACTACAATGCTACTTGGTAAGCTAACGTTCGCTAACTAGCAATGTGTTTAGGCTCACTCTCCCTATACGACCAAAGTATTTCAAGTATTTAATTAATTGTAGCTACCACTTTTACGTATTAAAATATGTATGCTTTTGTTTGTGTATTTCAGAAGTTACCGACCGAGCTACCGAGTGGTGGAATGTGATTGTTCCATCTTTCACACACTCAGTGGGTGGAGAACTTCAGGATGCCTGAGGAAAACCTACGTGTAATACCTAAATATTCATTGTATTGTATTGAACATAAATACATCTTTTCTTTTTCACATACATGTGTTTGTCAAATTATTTAAACCAAAAAAATGTTATCAGAATTGACTATTTAGTAAATATTTGAATTTCAAGCACCAGTACTGCCCCCATAATAATAATAATCTAATAAATTAAGCAAATATCAAAGCAAACTATAAACATAAATACAAAAGTGTAAAACACAACAGAACTATATTCATAAATGCAAGTGTAAAAAATTGTTAACATGGATGGAGGCTAAAGTATCCACAGCATAAAATAATATGATTATGATGGTTTGTCTGAAAGACACAGCCTCAAGGTTCAAGGTTTTTTATTTTGTCATACGAACATAGCTAGTGTAGTTATGACAATGAACATCTTAGGTCACAGGCTCCTCCAACAGTGCAACACAATAACCCAGATCAACAGAAATATAGTGCAAGTAAATATTAAGCGCTGTGCACCGCTCTCTTTGTATAGGTGTTTTCTTTTGTTCTCTTCTCTTTGAAATATATAAGCAATGTGTTTGAGTCTAGCACAACGAGGGTATTACAATTGAGTAATTTTTCTACATGTATTTATCATGTATTCTTAATACCATTACAAAATATGTAATGTTATGTTTTAGAGGAGGACCTCAAGCTAGCAAACTCAATTTCAAACAGTATGCAGAGTTGTCCTGCTAAAGAGTTAAAATGTATTATTTAACCAAGTATTTATTCTCTTATTTGCTTTAATTGCAACAGATGATAAAGGTTTCACTGTGATAAGTATTCTCTTAAATCCATAAACCCCTGTACAGTGCTTTGTGGACGATGGTGTTTATGATATTTCTGACTGCAGAGGGACGCCTAGATGATGCCATCTTTCTGTGCGATCGCTGGTGGGTGCAATTATTTATCAACAAGCAATAAGATAAGACATGGCATTGATTCTGCTGGGCCAGTTGCCGTTCCTGCAGGGCCAGATCCTCTCCTCCTCGGTTTGTGCTGTTGATGCAGAGGACGTTGTTCGGAACTGTTCCTCCTCGCTAGTCCCAATGTAATCATCTAGAACAGAAACATGACTTGTAAATTCCACAAACTACTGCAGCACAATACTATAAATAGCAACAACAACTATAGAAAAGACAAACTGAACGTAAACAATGGCACATATGGTGTTAGCAAACAATAGCTCTCGCTAATGCTATCTGCCTAGCTAGCCTTCGGGGCTCCATCGGGGTTGTCGAACATAAATGTAAGGATAAAATAGACTTATTTGTTAGAAGTGAGCTTTAAAACAGATAGGGACACAAAGCAGGGACACAAAGCAGGGACACAAAGCTTTCAAGCAAATAACAGCGTTAGCAAAAACGTACCATGCAGACTCCAGTAACGCCGTTGGAGAGTCCAGTGTCTGTGTAGAGACCTCCTGAAAGACTTTGATATTGCGAGTTGTCCCGTCGAGCACCCGCTGGACCTTATCATCTGCAATATAATGGACGTCGTCACTTCCTCGACCGACCATGGTGTGCTTTTCTTTGCCATTGTTGTAGCTCCTCTGTTAACAAAAATGCTGTTTGTAAAAATGGATTATCTCGCGCGCAGATTGTGACGATTCTCTCCGACCAATCAGCAGCCGAGAGCGTTGACGTCACAAACTCAGCCTGGTTGTCTCGGCCCTGGCCCCACGATTTTATGAGGCCAGAAAAACTGAGAATTAGGACCAGCCGGCCGGTACTAGGCCAAGTGGAAACGCAACCACAAACGGGCCGCTGACGTCACAGCCCTCTTAAACCGGGCTGCGCGCTGTAGTGGAAACGCGCCATTAGTGATACCAAAATAGTTATAAAATAAATAGGTACAAATAATTAAAACCAGGATACTCTCAAATTCAAGGTAACTGAATATATATATGTCTTTAAAATGTTTATCTGAAAGAAAGGGAATAAATATTATAGCTTTCTGTACCTTTTCCAAACAACGTCTGCTTTGTGTCTTTTCACCTTTGTTGCACAGTATCCATTTTCTCCTGAGCAACCTAGACTTCTGATGTGCTGGTCCACACACTGAAATTTCTACATTTATATTAGAGAGGTTTGATCGAAACTGATTCGTATAAATAATTCTGTGCTCAGCATTCATATTTGGTGCATGTGTTACATGTTCATAGGATGTATATTGACTGTGGTCTTGTTAAGGGTGAGGTGGCTGTGGGTGTACGTCCAGCTTTGCCAATCGAGGGGATACACTTCATCCTGGGCAACGGTTTGGCAGGTAGCAGAGTCTGGACTGATGTTCCCCCTGCGTTTTTAGTCACTGGCGGTCCGATTGAGTCAGGGTCTGAGGAGAGCTCTACAGTGTTGGCAGACGTCACGTCCTCTTGTGTGACCACTCGTGCTATGGACAAAAATATGTTTGGAAACCAGAAGACCAAGCATTGTCAAAGTGGTCGTGGCGGCGGTGGCATTGGTGGTGGCGGCAGCGTTGATGGTGGGCGTGGCGGCGGCAGCAGGGGTCGAGGAAGAGGCAAGGAAATGTCCTGCTATCGGTGTGGAGAACAAGGACACATGGCTCGTGACTGTGGGCATGCCAACGACCGGAAGTGCTATTCCTGCGGTGGGCTTGGTCACATCCAGAGACGGTGCAGTCGGGTGAAATGTTACAGGTGTGGCGACATTGGCCACGTTGCGGTGCAGTGCAGTAAAGCCAGTGAAACTAACTGCTACAACTGAGGAAACATGGGCCGTGACGGTAATGTATTGTCTGTCATACTGTTCGATAAATCGTTCTCGCTCTGCCCATCCTTTTAAAGTGTGCTTCTCAGGTAGTTTACCTGAGTTGCTAAAGATGTGGCTGGGTGTTGGAGGAGCGTTGGCAGTGTGAGGGTTGTATGTTGCAATTGGTGGTTTTGTTGGAGGTGGGGTGCATTATGTCTTGTGTTTTTGTTGTTCATTACTGGTGTTTTTTGTTTTGTCAGGGTTGGGATTGGTGTGCCGGTGGTCCTGGGGACACCGACTTTAAGGGGGGGGGGGTGTGACGACCCCTGCCTTGTCTCCTGTGGTGTGCATGGCCCTTTAATGTTTCCCCTCTGCCTGTGACGCCCTGATTGGGGACACCTGACGCCCTGATTAAGGACACCTGACGGCTGGCAGAGGATAAAGAGGCCGGAGGCAGAGTCTCGATCGCTCGCTCTCCCGCAGAGGACCTGACCACGGAGCAGCCACGTTGCTTAGCCTTTTTTGGCTTTTTCCTTTGTGTTAGTTTTTCTTTGTTTATGACAAACTTTTGTTAATAAATATATTTTTCATACATGTTCTTGTCCTTTCCCACGCTTTTTGTTATGGCCAAGAGCCAGGCCATGACAGTGTGTATGTGTGTTTGTGTGTTTGAGTGTTTGAGGTATACATGTGTTGCCTGGAAGCTCTGATCATGTAGGGAAATTAAGTGATGAAATCAGGTCTACACACCTGTAGCTTTGAAATGCTGTGTGTGTGTTAATCAGCTGGATAGCACAAATACTTTGACTTATTGCCCCATTTCACCACCGGGTCAAATTGACCTGGGAAGACCACAGATGCTACACTTTTAAATAAAATACCCATAATTCAATTAAAGTAGTGCTCGTAATTTTGGGAACAGGGAACCATCCATGTAATTTGTGTGGCAATGAGATGTAATGACCCCTTTTTATCACCTCAAAACTTCTGAGATTGGGTCAAGTTGACCCGACGACAGAAAGCTAAATAAACGACAACTTGACTCACAATATCAATTTTAAATGATTTTATTGACTTAAAGATGAACGTATTGCTTCCTGTAAGAAACAAATATCTGTTCCACTGAGTACCAACGTTTTTAAATATGAATAAGATGCATGAAAAAATATGATTCAAATCAGGCTATAAATTATATATGAACATAACCTTTAGAATAAAGATGTAAAATATACAGAGATGAGCAGATTATAATTATTTATTGATTTGAATTGATTGAATCAGCTACAATATTTTTGTATTGAATGAATGTGCATACTGTTAATGCTTAATACAGTATTCTTAACAATATCATTATCATTAATATTCTTCCTCTTTAAATGTTCCTAATTTCCATGAATTTGTCAAGAGACTTTTGTCTCTGATTGCTTTTATTGTTCATTATAAGGTGCGCACAGTGAACAGGAAACTTTAGAAATGTGTGACCATTCGTCATAACCATAAAGAAACAAAATACATAGAGATTAGCAGATTATTATTCATGAATTTATTTATTTAATCGGCTTTAAGATGTTTATATTTAATAAACGTACATAGCATTACTGTTCTAAATGATGTATCATGTAATTTCTTCCTCAAATGTTCCTAATTTCCATGATTTTGTCCTCGAGACATTTGTCTCTGATTGCTTTTATTGTTCATTTAAAGAAATGTAAGAGTTCTTTTTAATGTAATCAATGTGGGGAAATTGGAGCAACCCCGCCTCTATTTTGAACGGAAAATACCCCTGGACATTTGTTCCTTCAAAATGGCTGTCCACTCTTAGAGTTTTTTTTACTTGATTTCATGAATCAGTTGGGAAAACCGAAGCACTCGGAGGAAACCCGTGTGGATTTAGAAGGACAAAGACCCGTGGCAATCTACCCCTAATATTCCCCTAAATATTGCACGCTACAGGTTTTTCATTTTCAGTTAAATGCTAAAATGCGGGAAAACCTGGAGGAACCCTGCGGCACAGTTCACTTACTGAACTCTCCTCCAGATGTTGGAGATGGCTTTTCCAACAGACCTAAAGAATCTGCAGATGGTTCTATGTTCCTGAGGTGGGTTGAGCAGGCGATCATTGACGGACCAGACTATATCAGCTCCAAGTTCTGGGTCCTTTAAAATCAAACGGGCTAGGACCATATCTTGAGAGCCCGCAATCTTGCACAAGTGCTGGTAAACAATCTTGTCAAGGTCAGCGAAGGTTGTTGGGGTGGTGTAAAAGTCCACGTGCTGCACCTCAGCCCAAACTCTATCAAAGAGGCTCTTAATGATGTCCCCGTCATCCGCAATAGTGCGCCCCACTTTAGATTTCTTGAAGGCCAGTGTGACCAGCTTCGCCACAAAAATCCGAACGCAGACTCTATTCAAATCCCGCTGCCTGTTTGCGTCCTCCTCCAAAGGACTGGCACAAAGCGCGGCTCGCTCCAAAGCCTCTGACTGAAACAGAGCCTCAGGCCCCATTATGGCCTGTTGGACCCTTTGACTCTGGGTGGCGACCTGAGTGTTCACAAACCAGCTCATCAGCGACACGAAACGCCACGCCTGTTTGCAGATCTCTGCGTACATGTTGGCATGCACCTGAGGAACGAGCAACGTCCTGACAGACGAGTGCCTGACGGGCTCTGGGAAATCACTGTGCGACATACCACTAGCAATGTGTCTGTACAACATGTCGGTGAGTGTCTGAATAAATACTAAATGCTTGACACTGGAGAAGTCCTTGAACCTTTTAGAGACACTCATTTCTTTCCCCCCCATTTCACCTGCCTCAGTCATGAGAAGAGCACTTACGCCGCTCATCAGTGACTTCATGGACTTCGTAGTTTCAGCTTTGGGGTCTGGGTGGAATTTCTTTTTAAGCTTTACCACCATGCGATGAATCCAAGCTTTGGCAAAACGCTTTGCCAAGCAGTTCTTCACCCTCAGCTTTACGCCCTGCTTGCATTTGGTCTTCTGTTTTTGTTGACTGGTGGACTTGCCAGCATTCGTCCTCTCCTGATTCTCCTCCTGCTGGGTCAGAAGGGCTGTGATGCCCTCCGCGGTGTTTGCGATCTCCAGAGAGCACTCCTCTTGCAGCAGAGCATAAACCTGGTCAGGCAAATCGTCCAGGACAGGATCGGTGATTTTTCTCAGCTCCTTGTCAATGAGTTCTTCGATGGATTTTTGTTTGCGGATGTCAATCACTGAGTCCCCTGACGAACTCTGCTCCTGGACTCCTAGTAGTAAGGAAACCACTGAGACCGGTGACTCAGCTCTGGGCTCCTCGTTATCCACCAATGGTTTCTCCAGTGGGTCGGGACTTAATTTTCTCTGACGTGTTCTACGTTGGCATCTCCCAATTCTAATTTTTCCTGCAAAGGCCTTCAGCATTGTGCAGGTGTGCCCCACCATAACGTTGAGCCAGCGGGGGCGAACGACGCGCTCAGCAGTGTGCATCGGGGTAGAGAGGGCAGAGTTCACGCTCTCTGCCACCTCTTTGCTAATGACAGCTGCACAAAGCTCCACGCTGTCGTCGTCCATCTGGCTCGCAACGTCCAGAGCTTGGGCGATACTCTGGGAGAGCGCGTCCCCCAGGCTGGACCTGATGCTCTCCTCAGAGACAGACGTCTTCATGCCCGTAAAAGCAGCCAAAATGGCCTTAGTTAGGGACGTTACAACCTCGAGAACAAGGTCTGCCACCACGATTAAGGTGGCGCCATCAGGTTTGCCTGATCTTAATAGAAGCCACTGATCTCCTGTCACCCCTTTAACAAAGGGCTCAACAATAGGAAACAGAGTCACTCTGAGCTCTGGCATTGCCTCTGTCTGTTGGCTGTTCATGGCCATTACAACTGTATTAACCCACTAACCAGCAATTTAAACAATACTGTTATTGATTATTTTTAAATATCTAGCAACTGAACAAATTATGGGGATTATTTTTAAATGTTTAGCAATTTAAAAAACAATCTGAATTATTTTTAGATATCCTGATATTCAAAGAATAATGTGGATTGTTTTTAGATATCCTGTTATTCAAAGAATAGTGTGGATTATTTTCAATTACTGTACTAAATTTGAAGGAACTGGTCTGAAGGTGACTGTCTGACAGTAGAAGCTGCTCCTACCTGCAGGAAGATATGTCTACGTCATTCTAAACTTCAAGGACCAAAGCAATCTAGAACGTGACGCCATAGATCGAAGCACCGAGCGATCGCTAAGCCCCGCCCACCCACACAACGACCGCAGCTTTGCAACAGTTGCTAGGCAACCGCTGCCACTTGGTAATATCTGTTTCTTTTCAAACCTTTATAAACTAATTTTAAGGCGTTTTTTCAAACCTTTATTAACATGTTTTAAGGCTTTTTTCCTACGTTTTTTTGCAGTAAGAAAACTCCAATATGATTTTGATAGAGTAAATAAAGTTTGTATAAAGTATTTGTATTATGTTTGCAATTTTAAACATGAAATAGTGACTTATTTTGTACAAATGTTTGACCAAGAATGGTTAAGAATATATACAAATCATATCAGTCAAATATATCTCTCTTAGATATATCTCTCATGTTGTGGACCAAAGCGCTCCACTAGAAGTAGCAAGAATTCTGCTCACCACTTCCACACTTTGAAATCCAACTGGAGCGGCCAGAGTTTACTTTGCAGCTGGAATCTAGCAGAATCAGTGGATCACAAAATAATCTGAAACTTGTCAGGATTCAAGTAATGTGTTTGTGTTGTGAACGTTGTGAAGCAGCCATAGACTGTCCGACCAAGCAACGAGCGTCCTTTGAGGAGCTGCTGACACTCACAGCCATGGTTTGGGAGTTTGAGGGGACACGAAGAGAGGACTAAACAATAATACCATCTGCAAGAAGTTAGCGTGTATGTAGCAGTAGCACATATCAGTTATATTAGAAATGTAGCGAGTGTTTTCATTGAAAGAAGAGCAATACATGGTAGCCTACTGTAAACACTGATTTGTATCGGTGAAAATATCAATTAATGCTAAGAATTTACAACATATTTTATGATATTTAGATCACAAAACACAAGGTTTACATGATTATAGTTAGGTTTCTTTCTATACTGGTGTGTCCAGAGAATATAGTGTTTGCCTCTGGCCACTAGATGTCCCCAGAGGGTTACAGGTGATTACAAGACTTTAATGTGGTTTCCATTTGAATTGAAAAGTTAACTAAGCAGTTGAAGTAATACTTCATGAAACATATACCACCCTTGTTGTTTGATAAGTTATGAAGTCAGCATGGTCTAAGCATTACCATACATTACACATGTAATAATATTTTAACTAATAATGTGGAACATGTGCACTTTGGCCTCAGACAGATTTAGATTGAATTAAGTTGGGCTGGTGTACTTGCACAAGTGTCGACCCTGGATGCTCTGCAGCTGTTGAGAATTTCACAGCTGGGCAAGAGGCTCTGTGCAGGCTTGTGATCTGTGGCTCCATGCTGGAATGTCTCCCAGATGCCCCCAAACCGTAACCATCAAATTTGGTTTGAACGAGAAATTGCGATTTTCATGAAGCTGCTGATGTAAAATCAATGTGT